GGAACCAGAAGGCTGCTGGGAGAGCATATATATTCTACAACAAGGAACTGGCTCTCTCTCTTGGAGTAGGATTCAGAGCTGAACATAGGGGGACTGCTGTTCTCCTCCAGAGACAGATTGTTTGCCTACTGCTGCCAGACTCTGCACATCAGTTGAGCACAGCGGTGATGCTGATCGCCACATCAGGATTACATCTCTGCATCGGGACTGTCACTATGCAGTCTTCAGCCAGACATCTCTGCATACTGTACTGACAGGCCATTAGATTGTAACTCTGCACATCCCTGCAAACAGCTAAGAGCCTGTGTAAGAACTCCTGTTCCTAGGAGGCTGTGCTCTCCATGGGGTTGGTGAGCTGGCGGATGCCCAAACATCTTTATGAGACACCGCATGCAGACACCTTTACACCACAGTATCAGGAGATCTTTGCTTTGAGCAGTACACAGCCTATCTGTTTAGCTTCTTTGAATTACCAGTATTCATTACTGTTTATGGGCCCCAACATTGCTAGCAGAATACAACGGACCCATCTTGTCAGGAAACTTTAAATATCACAGGACTCCAGTTGCAGTGCTAATTAAAGGGGCCTCTTCTCTTCTAAGACCATTCATTTTCAAATTAGTATACGTATATCTATTTATGTTGGAGTATATATTTACATAATTCTCTGCATCCACCATTGCGGTGCCAGTGGTCTACAGGGAACTGATAAGTTAACAAGCCTTTTCTTCCCCCTCTTACTGCTGGTGTTGCTGTTTAATATATAAAGCTTACTACTTATGACTGTATAATTTGTTAAACATTGCTAATTATTTCTATTTTACCAGTGTTCTATTTTAATGTGTTAACTAGGATTGTGGAAACTAAACCAATTATTCTTGTGGTATACTCTTTTGAACAAGACTCATTTAGAGATGTTACTAAAGAATTGTGTCTCCTGCATTATCTTATACTGTTGAATTATGTCTGAGCCCAGAGTATCAGTGGTGTTGGGAGGCTTGCAAGGTCAGGGCAACCCCTGGGACAAGCATTTATCAAGCAGACCCTGCAGGGGCAGCGCTACACATGATAATTAGTTCAAGTGTTCCTCTGGGGTAAAAGGTTGAAAAGGCTGATCTATAGCATAGTTTTGAGGTTTCAGATGACTTCTCTGCTAATATACAGTAAATGTTTGCAATACACCTTCTTTGCATGAAAACATGGTTACACGTTTAAAGTAGAATTCTAGCCAGCACTTATTATGCTTGAAAGTGTTCCTACCCTCTCCTACTACCTGTGTGTAAAAAAAGACCTGTATACCTGTTCGTTTTCCCTGATTCACTGCCATCTCCTGCCAAGTCAGCCATTGGGTCTCCCATCTCCTTCATGCCCAAAGATGAATTAGGGTATGTGCTTACCTGTAAGGGGACAGACTTCGCCACCTTGACTACTCACATTCTCCAGGCCTGAGGCTCACCTCCGATATTAAATAAATGTCTGCATAAGCAGCCTTTTAATGATTTTACTGTGGTAGAAACACATCTTGTATCCTTACAGTGCAATCCTCAGCTCCATAGCTCCACAAACAGCACACAGTTCATTATCCAAAAAACTGGCCCACTCTCCCATACTCTTCCTTGACGGTCCTCCATTAGTGAGTTCTCTTTCAAAGTCTCTATTGCCTATCCCAAAGGGTACTCTCCTTCCAGACTAAGATGATGTACTGTATATCGGGGTAGCTTTTTTCGCATCACCTCTCTGCTGTAATATTGCCAAATCATGTCAATCACCTCTGTGGCAGATATTCTCAGTTTTTACATAGAATTTCACATTTGCTCTTTGTTCTAACTTGCTTTCCATGATAAAATAGCAGATATGGTAACACACATGGTCAAAATAGCACCAGTTGCACAGCTCATGTTACAAAACTAGTCTCGAATACAGGATGATGTCTTTTGGCATACTGACTTATGAAGGCCAGTGCTCTCTGTGACTGTACATGCAGCCTTGTGCTGCCATCTGTTGGCGTGTTACAAAACTAGTCTCGAAACATTTTTATACCACCTCGTAGACTTCTTTTTGCTAAAGATGAAAACAATCAGTGCTAATAAAATGGGCAGCACAGTGGCTGAATGGTTAGCACTTATGCCTGGCAGCACTGGGGTCCTTGGTTCAAATCCCAGCCACGGCACCACCTTCCTGGAGTTTGCATGTTCTCCCTGTGCCTGCGTGGGTTTCCTCCAGGTACTCTGGTTTCCTCCCACACTCCAAAGATATGCTGATAGGTTATTTGGATCCTGTCTAAATTGGCCCTATTATGTGTATGAATGTAAGTTAGGGACCTTAGATTGTACGCCCCTTGAGGGTTAGGGACTGATGTGAATGTACAATATATATGTAAAGCACTGCATAAATTGACAGCTCTATACAAGTACCTGAAATAAATAATAAGAAATAATAAAACCAAACATGTATAAAAGTGTACACAATAGCACAAGATAAAGTACTAGTCAGCAGCTATACTAAAATACTCTATAGACATCAATATGTCTATGACGATCCTCTATGGAGGATCTTCATATATATTAAAAATTTTAATTTGCTGGAAGTAGAGAACCTGTAGAATAGTAAATTGGCAGTTTCAAATTATATGTTAAGTTCTATTTGAATGTAAACAGCAACATAACATAAACACATTATAATGTCAACGGAATCAAACTGCCATTTGTATGTCCAATTTCAGAGGCTAATCACTAGCAATTTTAACTAAGCTACTAACATTCTCCTGGCCAGCTCTAGCTTTATAAGCATCATGACCTGTGTATGGCCTCTCCTCCTCCCCAGCATGTCAAGGCTAAGCAGATCAGAATCAGGATGATGTAGTGATGCAACCAAGAACAGATGCAACCGGTCCTTCCTGAGAGATCTCCAATGAAGCAGGCACTGATTATGCATGACATATTCTTACATTATTTCTAAACTGCCATTTTGCAAACATTAACGTTGCACCAATTATCCTGTTTTCTGTCAATGAAGTATCTAAACAAAACACGAGTCATAATTTATTATAGAAAAAAACATAATTTATTGCCGGAAACATTTGCATCATACAGTTCCATTTTACAGTGATAAAACTTTACAATAGGAAATGTACATTGTGTCTTAGGAACCATCACAATTTTATCTTTTGACATCCATAAACTCTTAGAAATACAAAAATATCTCAATCTCTTACTCTCTAAAAAGTGGCAATCAAACATTCCACATGCTCATTTCCATGAATAATATAAAGCAGGGACCACCAGACATTGGAAATGGCTGTTTTATACATTAGGCATACCAGTTCATTTCACAGTTTCTTCAAGCATTTGCTGAATTTTTCTTTTTCAAAGCTTTACGGTCAACCCTGCTACACAGTACAAAAATATAACTCATCTGTAAGAATCCAAAAAGTGCACGGAAAGTTCAGGGAGACATGAAATACTGCAGCTGAAAAATTAACATTATTCAGGAAGAAGAAATAGCTTTGACAAATATCCTCCAAAATATCTATATTAATAAAATTGTCTTTGCCTTAGAATATGTATCTTCTCATTAACAAAAATACACATTCTGGGGAAAAAAAAAAAATAAAACACCTGAAAGGATTTGTCTACCCATGTGCAAAAAAAACATCATCTACAATCAACTCATCATTTATTTAAGGAATCTACAATTATATTAAATACCAAATTCAGATAAAAAGGTGCAACTAAATTCTTACCTTCAATATGAAGGATTGGGATTCATACCTTCTGTAATTATTTTGTAAACATAAGTTGTAATTTTACAATTGAGTGGTGCTGTGTCATTACCGGAAACATCCAATCAAGGATCAGTTTTCAAAGGTCGACCTGCACTAAATTACTTAAAGTCAACTTCTGATTGGTTGCTCTGGAATACAACACGTCATAGCTTTTTGTACTACATTTTTTATCAACCATAGTGTATACACAATCTTACAGACTGCTAAAGAAATAAGTGCAAATTATTAAGGGAACACAGCTACAGCTTAATTTTTTAAATTAAGGACTTAATTAAGTGCCATTCTAATACTGATCGTTTTAATATGACTTTTTGGAAAGTACCTTATAATTGATCAGGAGATTACTAAGCAAATCTTACAGAAGTGGTGGCATAATATATTTATGTTGGTTGGCTTGTGTATTCTTTTGTATGGCACACACAGTACAATTTTGATATTTAAAATCTAGTGTACAACCCTCAGTTCTGCATTTTTCATTTTTGGCATGATTGAAGGCACTTATTCAAAGATTAATAAAGTAGTCAGAAACGCAAGAAACTGATCAGTAAAACATCTAGTCACTAGCTACCTCTACAAAGAAGCTACTTCATCAGGTGTGGACTGGTAGCTTAGGTATTTCCTCGCTGATTAATCATCTTTAAATAACCGTCATATGTTGTAGTGTTTAGGAATTGTGCTTATCTAATGTAGATGGAATTCACACTTGATGATCCACAAAAATGAACACCCTTTCCACAACCAGACCAAAGGGTCAGCACTTAAACCTATCTTTGTGGATTGTATAGAATTGTATACTTCAATCCCATTTCATGTTTACATTACCTTGGTTAACCCATACTACTGTGCTTTCCTAAACACCATCTGTTTGTGTTTTTATACAATTAGTAAAACTCTACTTCTCCAACATGCTACTCTTATATTTGCTATATATATGTATATGTATATATAGGCTTTTAATGGCATCAACTGAGTTGGTAGTTGATAGGCACATGTGCTCTATTCTAATGCAGGCTTATCCAGGATTTGTAGGTGCTTTGGACCTTTACAATTTGCTTAAGAGGAAAGCTTGCTGCCTCAATTATTTTCACGCTTGAAAAACGTAATCTTGTTTTGCTTTGATGCCATTACATAACATGTAGCATTTATGTATTACATGCTCTTTGTGCCCAAGGACATCGAGATTCTTTTGATAATTAAGAATGATGACCAAGGAATTTCACCAGTAAGGTGAGGTGTTCCCTATTTTACCCCAACTTTGCCACTCAGGATAGAGACCCATGGATGTTTTGGGTGTTCCAAATTGATCCAAGTCATTTTCAGGTTGGTGGTTTTGTAATTTGTAAGAGGTTATGTCTGTTTTTGTAAGCGAATGGATATGCACACCATCGGATTTCCATTCTGCACGGATTATAGAGTAGTTTTGTCCATCATTGTTATCCCAAAACACTTGGCCATTGCATTCATATGACAGGCAGAACTCAATTTTCTCATGGCTGGGAATGCTGGGAGGAATATCTACTGCAAACGAGAAGGTGTCGAAGTCTGTGCCCCCATACACATTGTTCATATAGACACAGCCTAAATCTGTGTAGGTTTTCCAGGTGTTAAAGGTTACTCGCGCCTTGACTTTTTTTCATAGCTCAGATTTTTTACTTTGATGGTTCCGGAAATGGATCTCTCCTGAAGACTGCAGTTCTCCAAACAAATTAGGTTCTTTTGAATTTTATTGCGGAACTGCAAATAATCAGCTGAGGGTTGAGTGAATCCCAGGACCAAGTTCTTCTTTTCATGTAGTTTTAAGCTGGCTGTGATGCCTTCAAGGTCAATCAGATCAAACTGGAGGTCAGTGTCAGGCTCTTCCTTAAACTCTGAGAACACATGCACAGATGTCAACGAGAGCCCCTTGGAATCAGCAAAGACCACTTTCTTTTTGGCTCGGGATTTCGACCGGTTCCACTCACCGTTCCTGGAATCAGATTCCTTTTTTAAGGAAATGCATGGCCTAAGTGGCTTAAAACGATTGACAAGATTCCGGCCCCTGCAGTCATCATAGGGGCTTAGAAACTTCTTTAGAGGAGGTGAATGTGCTAGGCATATCCTTACTGCAACATCAACCGGCATAATAGACCGGGGAAGAGTACGTGGCTCCAAAATCTGAATCATTCTGAGGAAGAAAAAAAAAAATATGCCTTAATAGTACAGAATAAGTAGTGCCAATCATATTAAAATGCCTTGTTACAGCAGCTGTAAATTGACATATGAAACCTGAGCCTGAAAATGATGGCTGATCAAAGTAAAGAGGTATGATGACTTGACCAATTTAGCAGTGGATTAAGAAACACCCACTAAGTCACAGTGAGAATTAAACATCTGTTGCTTGCATCACTGATAGAAGAGATGAAAATGCAGGTGAATACCTTCTATTAAAACCAAGGAAAACTCTACACTTGCTTAGAAGGCTTGTTAAAGCACATTTCCCAAAAAATAAAGTTACATACATAGCAAAGTCCCTACAAATGTTACTGTCAAGGCTGTCACCATGTACTGGCACAAGTAATCCAATCTAAACACGAGCACACAAGACGTTTTCCATGCAACTTGCTGCTCTTGCACACAATCTTGGCAATCCAGCAAACCATGTAAAATAATACTAGTTTCCAAGCTCTTCAAATATAAAATTTCCACCCAGCTGCAGTTCTTCAATAATATCAAAATTAAACCTTGATAGCAACTTCTTTATCACAGACAGGTCATCATAGGTGGATAATAGGTATATACATTATATGTATGTATGCAAGGGAAATACAGAACTGTTTATTTTTTTAAGATTTCCTTTTTGTAAATTGCTAGGGATATATATATATACAGCATATTTACAGAGTGTATAAGGAGTGATGTAGCTGGTACATGGAGCAGGAAAGAGATAAGTTAAGAGAGCAGAGCCTGTAGAACAATAAAGTAGAGAAGGTGGGTGTGACTGGTATGCTTGCAAATAAAGTCACATGGCAAAATGCGTTGGAATGGGGCTTAGACACACCCACTAGGATTGCCTTTACTGCATGATCGGACTATCTAGATTGCTTTTTAAATTATATACATTAACCAATAAAAACCAATAACCAATTAACAGATGCACTTTAATTGTTAGAATTTATTGGTTTAATACCTATTTTAATATATATATATATATATTATTATTTTTTTTTAGAGATTAAAATTGGTATTAATGTTTTAATATGTATTTTAATAAAAAAAAAAAAAAAAAAAAATATATATATATATATATATATATATATTTATAGATTAAAACAGGTATTAAGGTATTAATGTTTAAATATGTATTTTAATAAAAAAAAAAAAAAAAATATATATATATATATATATTTATAGATTAAAACAGGTATTAATGTTTTAATATGTATTTTAATTAAAAATAAATAACTATATATGGAGTTTATGTGTTAAGAATTACTGGAGAAGTCCACTCCTTAGAAAAGTGGCAGCATTGCCTAAAAAAGGAATTGGTTCAAGAAGAACCTCAAATGTGATTTACCTTTCCACAACAGAGAGGTCATTAATAATTAGCTGAGGTTTTGTCCATGGTGATGATGGGATGTGGATGATGAAGGGGTATCACTGAACGTAATCTGGAGGAGGGCTGGAACACTGCATATCAGAAAGTGGGGATATGCCCGGCTGAACATTTTGTCACTTGATACCAATGGGCTTGTTCACACTTGAGTGTTGTGTCTCTTGTTCTCTGTAGCTTGAAGTTTGAAAAAGTAAATGAGCTTGGGGGCAAAATTGCACATTTTTGGCTCCATAGACTATAATAGTAAGGCATAAAAAAAAACACTTGTTTAAAAATCTATGGGGCCAAAACTGTGATTTTGCTACTGTACTATTTCTGCAATAGAATGTGCAACAAAATGTGCAAATAGCACAAGAGTGCAGCTTGTGATATTATATTTATTTTAATCTTGCAAACCACCTGGATTGATTTTGTTCTCCCCTCTTATGATTTTCCCTAGGGAGTGTCATGCTGGCGTGTGCAAACAGAAACAGCCAGTATCTGGCACAGAAATACAATTTAATAGGCAGACTATTTTATCTACAGACATACCTAGCAATTAACCTACAAGGGAAACATTATCAACACATATTAATGTTAACATCTCCATTCACTTTGCAAAAGAGGTCACAAATGTTCAATTTTTTTTTTTTAATCCAAAGCAACCAGATTTCTCCTTTTAAGCTCACTACACACATTACAGTCTGATTGTACAATCTCCATTAGATCTCCCAACAAGTATGTAGTAGAAGTGACTATCTGATTGGACAGTTTAGGCTGGCTCTCATACTAAAACAGATTTGGTAGGTCTAAGGTTGATTGTAATTTAGATCTGATCCTATTGTTGATTTACTGTCCAATCAGAAATGTGAAGAAAAGATCATTCAATGACAATCATACCATATTATCTACTTTTCTACAATCAGGTTTTCCATCCAGAATAATCAGAATAACGTTTTGCTTGAAATCAATGAATGACACTTTTTTTTTTAAATAATTCATAGATCCAATCATATTATCTGATGCTGTGAAGAATTGTTCAACCAGATTGTGTATGGCCACTGAAAGAGCGTTCAGAAACATTTCTTAAGTGGTTGTTGCACTTGGCTTATCTATTTAGCAAGAAATGTTAAAAAAAAGTGCAGTGCAAATAAATAAACATATATGTAGAAAATATGCACAAAAAGTATACCAACAAATCATCACAAAGTGTCCATGGGAAGAAAAAAAAAGTTTTGTTTGCACCTTATATTAAGTGCTTTTCAGATAATTTTTCACATGAACACTTTGTGATGATTTATTGGTATAAATATTGTGCATGTTTTCTACATATAAGGTTTATTTATTTAGCGCTGCACTTTATTATACATCTTTGAAGATTTGGTATCACAGATTTTAGTTCTGGCAGCTCTCTATATATACTTCTGAGTGTGGAGTTTCCCCCCCTTTATACTATATTTAGCAAGAAATACCTAGGGGAAAGGGTTTCTTTTTCCTTAGATCAGTGAACTTCCTAATAGTGTCACACATCAGATGCATCCCCCGTTACCTAGTATTATGGATTAGATGCGTCTCCCTATACCTTGTATCATACATCAGATGCGTCTCCCTATAAGTAATATAATACATTAGATGCATCCCCCCTAAATGAGATGCGTCCTGCTATACCTAGTATTATACATTAGATTCGTCACCCTATACCTAGTAATATACATTAGATTTGTCCCCCCATACCTAGTAATATACATTAGATTCGTCCCCCCATACCTAGAATATATACATTAGATTCGTCCCCCCATACCTAGTAATATACATTAGATTCGTCCCCCCCATACCTAGTAATATACATTAGATTTGTCCCCCCATACCTGGGGAATATACATTAGATTCGTCCCCCCATACCAAGTAATATACATTAGATTCGTCCCCCCATACCTAGTAATATACATTAGATTCGTCCCCCCATACCTAGATTCGTCCCCCATACCTATACATTAGATTCGTCCCCCCATAGTACCTAGTAAAATATACATTAGATTCGTCCCCCCCATACCTAGTAATATACATTAGATTCGTCCCCCCATACCTAGTAATATACGTAGATTCGTCCCCCCATACCTAGTGATATACATTAGATTCGTCCCCCCATACCTAGTAATATTAGATTCGTCCCCCCATACCTAGTAATTACATTAGATTCCCCCCCATACCTAGTAATATACATTAGATTCGTCCCCCCATACCTAGTCCCCCCATACCTAGTAATATACATTAGATTCGTCCCCCATACCCTAGTGAATACCTTAGATTCGTCCCCCCCATACCTAGTAATCTACATTAGATTCATTTAGTCGTCCCCCATTACCTAGTAATCTACATTAGATTCGTCCCCCCTAGTAATCTATTTAGATTCGTCCCCCCACAGTAGATTGTCCCCCTATACCTAGTATTATACATTAGATTTGTCCCAACGTACCTAGAAATATACATTAGATTCATCCTGCTATACCTAGTATTATACGTTAGATTCGTCCCCCCATACCTAGTAATTATACATTAGATTCGTCCCCCTATACCTAGTAATTATACATTAGATTCGTCCCCCCATACCTAGTAATATACATTAGATTCGTCCCCCCATACCTAGTAATATACATTAGATTCGTCCCCCCCCCTACCTAGTATATATACATTAGATTTGTCCCAACGTTACCTAGAAATATACATTAGATTCATCCTGCTATACCTAGTATTATAGATCAGATCCGTCCCCCCATACCTAGTATTATAGATCAGATGTGCCCCCCCTATACCTAGTATTATAGATCAGATGTGTCCCCCCCCCCCTACCTAGTATTATAGATCAGTTGTGTCCCCCCCTACCTAGTATTATAGATCAGATGTGTCCCCCCTACCTAGTACTATAGATCAGGTGTGTCCCCCCATACCTAGTATTATAGATCAGATGTGTCCCCCCTATACCTAGTATTATAGAACAGATGTGTCCCCCCTACTAGTATTATAGATCAGATGTGTCCCCCCCCCTACCTAGTATTATAGATCAGATGTGTGTCCCCTACCTAGTATTATAGATCAGATGTGTCCCCCCCTACCTAGTATTATAGATCAGATTGTGTCCCCCCTATACCTTGCATGATACAATATATCATTCCTAGCACTTCCTTTGCTATGCAGAGTCCTCATGAGCTGCTCATTGATTCCAGCTACACAGGGAAGGAAGTCTGGGTCACATGCATACACTTCATTGTACTTAGTAGTCGGTTTTATTAGCCATGTCCCGTGCCTGTGGCTGGCAAAGCTCGGTGCAGCCCCTTGTCTGCTCTCCCCAGCAGGTTTGTTGTAGTCAGGTGAAGTGTGTGATGATGAAGTGTGCAGCCTGATGTCTTATTGCAGATGGTGAGGAAGGTGTGAAGTCGGTACCTGCGCTCAGCACTGACAGCTCCCGGCAGATCTCCTCCTCCTCCTCCTCTCTGACTTCTAGACGATTGGCACACATTCCAGCCTGCGCTGCCTGGTTATCTACATACACCCCGCCTCCTTACACGTGAAGGAGCCCTCCCGGCCAATCGGACGTCACCTCACGTCCCGCTGACCTATCAGAGCTCTGGAGATTCTGACAGCTGGAACGTGATTCAAGCCACTTGCCCTCTGTGACACGGCGCCCCGGAGAGGGGTGTGGGGGGAGGGAGCGGGGTCACCGGGGTGATCAGTGAGTTCCCGAGCAGTGAGGAGGGTGGTGTCGGGGGCAGAGGTGTCAGATCATAGCGGAGCCGCAGGTTGGAGACAGGCGGGTGATGAAAGTGTTACATGGAGAAGTAGAAATAAATCGGAGCTCAGTCACACAGACCTCTAGAACACCTACTTTACTTTGGTGCGACTTCTGTGCGACTTGAGACTGCAGTGAAAAAACTCTCAAAGTTGCATAAAGTGGCATAGCCCCCGGCTCCCTCCAAAAATTAAAAGTCAGCTGCTACAAACCCTGTAACTGCTTTGAATATATGGACCCTTACCTGTCCGGGGGTCCAGCGCCGTCCTCACCCGGGCTAGGTCTTCATGAGCCTCCAGCATGAAGAGAAGCCTTGCCACTTCATAGCCGCTTTCCTACTGCGCATGCACGAGTCGCTCTGCACCTTGTGATTGGTCCCGCAGTCTTTCGGGACCTGTGAAGTGACCCAGAGGACAGAGTGGGAAATGGGAGCGGGTACCAGGCAAAAACCAACTTACCGCTCCCCCCCCAAAAAGTGCCAAATGTGGGAGGGTGCAAACTAGTGAAACTTTCCCTTTTGGGTGGAGCTCCACTTTAATGTCAGTGCGACAGTTGTGCAGCAGTCACAGCAAAAGTCAACAGCTAAAGTTGCATCCGAGTCACACTTATCCAAAGTTACAATGTCAAGTCACAATGGAAATGGCACCAGAAATACAAGGCGCTGCCCCCTACTGTCTGTACAGAAGGGTCACCAGCCCGCAGTGTGGCCATGTTAGGTCAGTGATATCAAGGACATCCCCCGCCACTCTTTAATCTCCCGCCTGCAGCTCATTGGCCCGGCAACCACACATGACTTCTGCCATACACAACCTGGGACCGAACCCAAACACAGCATTGCCACTGATCATCAGTGCAGGGAAGGGGTTAACAGCACTGCTATTGACTAAGAATGGGGGGGGGGCGGTAGGAATAACACAGACACTGACACCAATGTTGGGGTTATTAGTGCAGTCACGGACACCAATGTTGGGGTTATTAGTGCAGTCACTGACACCAATGTTGGGGTTATTATTTCAGCCACTGACACCCATGTTGAGGTTATTATTTCAGTCACTGACACCCTTTTGGGGTTATTATTTCAGTCAATGACACCCATGTTGGGGTTATTATTTCAGTCACTGACACCCATCTTGTACATTATTACTGTAGTCACTGAAACCAATATTGTGGTTATAATTTCAGCCACTGGCACCAATCCTGTGGGTTGTTATTGCAGCCACTGACACCAATATTGAGGGTCATTATTGCATCCACTGACACCAATGTTGAGGGTCATTATTGCAGTCTCTTTCACCAATGTCAGAGGTTATTATTGCATCCACTGACACCAATGTTGAGGGTCATTATTGCAGTCTCTTTCACCAATGTCAGAGGTTATTATTGCATCCACTGACACCAATGTTGAGGGTCATTATTGCAGTCTTTTTCACCAATGTCAGAGGTATTATTATTGCATCCACTGACACCAATGTTGGGGGTTATTATTGCAGCCACTGACACCACTGTTGGACATTATTACTGTGGTCACTGAGAGCAATGCCGGGGGGTTATTTTTGAAGCCACTGACACTAAAGTTGGGAGTTACTATTGCAGTCGCTGGCACCAATGCTGGGGGTTGTTTTGCAGTCACTGGCACCAATGCTGGGGGTTGTTTTGCAGTCACTGGCACCAATGCTGGGGGTTGTTTTGCAGTCACTGGCACCAATACTGGGTGTTGCTTTGCAGTCACTGACACCAATACTGGGGGTTGTTTTGCAGTCATTTGCACCAATGGAGAGAGTTATTAATGCAGACAAAGAAACCAAATGCCAGGAGTCACTATTACTGACACCAACAATGGGGCTTACTTTACGCCCACTTTCCCTGCAGTGTGCATAAAAAAATATAGCAGGACCAAATCTGACACAATGTATTTCAGCTCTCAATAATTGTCTGCCATTGCTTGGCCCCCTGGAAGTGTTGGGGGCCCCATGTGAGAGCCTCTACAATTTTCAGGCTGACCACTACTGGTGTAGTACATTACTAGCAGAGTAGAGCAGCTGCTGAAGCTGAACACCCTAAGATATTGGAATAGTAGGTTCTGGTCCTGGAATCGTCATGTCAGGATCATCATCGGGGGTAGTAAAGTCATTACCACTGTGTTACGCCTAGACAACGATCTGTCCATGTAGGGTCCAGCCAGCCAGCATTTCTGTCACCTTTAATGCAGGGAAGGTGAGGTAACAATCAGCAAAAGGGGATCACTGCTAAACAGCAAATAAACTGTACGGCTGTTTTGAAGCTGACTATTGATTAAGCAATCGGACCTCTAGGTCATTAGAAATTCTAGTAACTCTTTAACCCAGACAAGGAGGTTTACTGTTTCATTGTCAGAAACGCAATATAGGATTTTTTAACCGCATAGCACTCTGTCACAGTAGATTTCATGTGACAGGGCGGCAGCTGCAGGCTCAGCGACGTAAATAAACATTGCAAGCCTGCCTTCTGGTCTGGGGTGCGCAAGCGCACACCCACTGCTGACCCTGGATTTTGCCAGCAGGCCCAGGCCAATGATTTATGGCTGAGACCTGCTGATCAGCTGTGTCCAATCATAGCACAGAGCCCTGTGTTTACAAACAACACATGGCTCTGTACACAGAGCAGTGATCTGACTGTTCTTCCTTCTTTATAGGGAGACGAAACAACCAAATTTCTTAGTAAAAGCAGCACATATCACACACATTACACATTGCTAGGCACGCAGTTAGCCCTTTGATTGCCCCTTGATGTTAACCCATTCCCATCCAACGTCATTAGTAGTTACATAGTTAGTCTGGCTGAAAAAAAGACATAAGTCCATCCAGTTCAACCATTAAAAAAAAAGTTATAATCCTATACCCACAGTTGATCCAGAGGAAGGCAAAAAACCCAGCAAAGCTGATTCAATTTGCTCCTGCAGGGGAAATATTCCTTCCTGATCCCCCCCAAGAGGTAATCGGATATTCCCTGGATCAACTTTACCTATAGATGTTAGTATCCAGTTGTATTCTGTGTATCTAAGAAAGAATCCAGGCCTTTCCTCCAGCAATCCACTGAGCTGGCCAGAACCAACTCTTGAGGGAGTCTATTCCACATTTTCACAGCTCTCACTGTGAAGGAACCTTTTCGTGTTTGGAGATTAAATCTCTTTTCCTTCAGCCGTAAAGAGTGCCCCCTTGTCCTCCAGATGTAAAGAGTGCCCCCTTGTCCTCTGTTATGACCTCAGGGTGAATACCTCTACACCGAGTTCACTATATGAACCACTGATGTATTTATACATGTTGATCATATCCCCCCTTAATCTCCTCTTCTCAAGAGAGAATAAATTCAGTTCCTCTAATCTTTCCTCATAGCTGAGCTCCTCCATGCCTCTTATCAGTTTGGTTGCCCTTCTCTGTACTTTCTCCAGTTCCCCAATGTTCTTTTAATGAATTGGTGCCCAAAACTGAACTGCATATTCCAGATGAGGTCTTACTAATGATTTGTACCGGGGTAATATGATATCTCTCTCTCTGGAGTCTAGTACAGTGGCAGTTTACAATATTAGCAATGAACATTGTATTAGTAGCATTTTTGATGTCAGTCAGTTACTGTACCTCCCAGCCAGCGTCAGCTAGCGCTGTATTGCCCGCCACATTATCACAGTCCCACTATAATTCGCTGATCACTGCCATTACCAGTATAGCATCATAGCTGCATAAATTCTAGTATATATAGTATGGTTTGTAGGCACTGTCACTTTCGCACAAAACAATGAATATACACGTATTGGGAATTTTTTTTAAACCAAACAAAGGTAGCAGGATTCTGGCTTTAATTTATGAAGAAATTAGATTTATTGATTTTTTTTTTATTGGATATGAAAATACTGGGTTTTTTTTCAAAATGTTTGGTCTTTTTTCCTTTTTGTATAAAAAAAATAAAAACCCAGTGGTGATCAAATACCACCAAAAAGAAAGTTCTATTTGTGTGAAAAAATGCTAAAAATGTTATTTGGGTAAAGTGTTGCATGATTTGCCAGGTAAATTAGAGTAGTCCTCAATGCCTTCCGGAGGTCAAGCAAAGATCAACATGAATGGAAATGAATTTCGCAAAATTGTTATATTTGGAGCTTCTAATCTTTGAGGTTCCTATCATGCACACCTCACAAGAGTCTCAGATTCTGTGAACTGCACTGAATTTTGACAAACACTCTCCGGCCTCTTTATTAGGTATACCTGTACAATTGCTTGGTAGCACAAATTGCTATTCAGCCAATCACATGGCAGTAACGCAGTGCATTTAGGCATCTAGACGTTGTGATGACGACTTCCTATGTTTAAAGCGGAGTTCCACCCAAAAGGGGAAGTTCTGCTTTAAAGACTGGTCCCCCACTCCCCATTAAGGATTGGCACCTTTGGGGAGCGGGTACCAGAAATTGAGAGGTGATAGGAAGCCTAGGCGATCAGAAGAAGCAGAAGTTGTCCTCCTACCCTCCCTCCCCGTAGTCTTCTGGGACACGTGACAGGTGCTGATCTGCTGGGATTTTCACACATAACCATCTCTAGGGTTTACATAGAATGGTCCAAAAAAGAGAAAACATACAGTGAGTGGCAGTTGTAAGGACGAAAATGCCTTGTTGATGTCAGAGGTCAGAGGAGAATGGTCAGACTGGTTCAAGATGATAGAAAGGCAACAGTAACTCAAATAACCACTCGT